ATCAAAGGTCAAGTTACCAAATTTAGTACCATCTTCAAGGTCAACAGCGAGAACAATTCTCAAGGTCAAACCTAGGGTTGGAATACTATAAATAAAGACAAGTACAGGGATCATTACCAACGCACTGACGATGTCACCTCGGCTGGTGATGAAACGTTTGCGATCTCAACGCACAGCTCAGCGAACACAAGACCCCACAAATACAATCTTTATATATGGATTTAGCTTGGCAACAAAAAAGAGTAAAATACAATGAAACACAAACAAAAGGGGGAGGGGTAAATGGACTACATCACCAAAGTAAGGATAAACTTACATAAAGTTCTTTTTGTTGACGCAAGGGGGGCTTCCATCGATTGATAGTAATCGTTTCTGCAAACCGTAGCAATCTTGAGATTCGTAACTTGTAGATAATCCGAAACGCCATGCTTCGGTCGATCTGGTGTTACGTCATCAGAAGATGTCGAGCTATGGCTGATCACGAAGTCTTGTAGTTTCGACCGTTGTTTCTGTGCCGCGGACTTGCCCTTCTAACAGAATGCTTGGCTAATGACAGTTGTTCAGTGCAATGTGAGTCATCCTGTGGTTATGTTTGAAATAGTGTATCCGTTGCCTGGAACGAGATGGAGTCTGCCATTTGCACACTGAATGAATGAATGGATCGTTTTGGAGATATACTCAAGGGGCAAATCTGAATGGAAGAGCCAAAAGCACATGTCTGTATCCTGAAGTATTCCATTTCGCCTGTTCACCGAGCTTGGCAATTGGTTTGCAAACGTTTCATCACCAGCCGAGGTGACATCAAGTGGCCTCAAGCATTTTGCTGGTACTGTACGCTTGCATACTGGAGTTTATGGTGATCATTGAAATTTGAGTAAATAAGTTGCAGTAAGGTTCCACCTCAAAGATGTACTGCTCTCTCAAGTCACATCCATGTGCCTTTAAGCGTTTACTTGCTCCTGTATAGTGAACTATCAGGCAGCCGCCACAGAAGATACGCAAATACCGCCCTCACTGGTTGAGATACGGTGAAACTAGGACAGTGAAAAGTGCTATTTTCCAACACATACTGGTGACACG